TTATCACATATAAATCCAGCTGCCAAGATGGAGTTTATCAGAAAAACACAAAAATAAAACAAAGTGATATAACATACAAGGCTCTAAGTGGAGCCTTTTGGAGGAAGAGAGAGCTGCATTCCTAAAGTTTCGACTTTTATCTGGAACTTCAACTGCTGGTTTGAACAAACAGAATTGATGAAGTTGGGTCTCAGTCCTTAGATCACGGCTGTCAGCATCTGTTCTGACTGTGACACATGAGCCGATCACCACAATGACTGATGGGAGGAACCTGGCTCGTCCCGTCACTCCAGAAACGTAAATGTTTCATAGGTCTGTTGTTGCCTCCCTTTCAACTGTCTTCAAACAAACCAATGACAAATTTAAGATGCAGTGATATTCAAGAGCTTCAAGCTCCCGACTGCTGCGTTGGTGCTAATTTTGACGACATAATAAGGTTCAGATGATGTGAGAAACCTTGAATCTGAATTCTTCAATCTCCTTTGTAATGAAAAGCACGATTGCATTTCATTACAAATAAAAAAAGAAAAAAAACATAGATAATTAACACGTGGAGAACGACATACAGTATGTGTGATGATATCATATGGTGTGGGATCAAACAGAATGTTTTTCTTGGTTCTTCAGATCACAGTGGTGGGTGCTCCAACTGTCTGAACGAATAGTGACAAAAAACGTGGCTACCTCACGAGTTTATGGTTTTCTTATCTTTTTCCGTGGCCCCGTCTGTCAGTCGGTCTCACCCACCGTCACGTCCCACAAGAGCAGCGGAGGGAAATAACTGGCGCTAAAGGCACACGCGTGCGCGTCCCAAACACAACAGGAAATGCATTATAGATGCCCACTTCACCATGTGTCACACCTTGTCTTCATTTGCATGCTTTCCACGTATTTGATCTGCCACATGCGTAGATAACTACCAAAGCAGAGAGATCTGAGAGAGACGCTCAGGAACACCAGGAGGAGAGTCGCAGGGCTCGGAAAAAACTAATTTATTCGGAACAATGAATGTTGAGTTTGAGGAGTTCGACAGACGGTTCGGGAACTGAATTTGGACCGTCACTTTGTATCCAAGAAGTTATTTTACAGACAATCAAAGTGAACACAATGGAATATTGGCAAACAATGAGCATCTAACACAAAGCAACAGGGGCTGTGTTTCCATTGATCATGAAATTGCTCAAATTGGAATTACGAAAATACAGACACATAATGGAAACATGTCAATTTGGAAAATATGTTTTTCAATAAAATAAAAAATTGTCCTAGAATGAGGTGGCATTTCAACCATATTTCGCAAAACTGCAACGGAAACATTAGCAGAGTTTCTATTTGACAATACGAAAATAGATTTGTTAAATGGAAGCGGCACGGCAACTTCAGGAAAAAAACCCTCCTTTTGCAATTAAAAGCTTTTGCACTAGATGAGGTGTTTTTTTGGCAGGATCAAAGTTTAATTTATTTCATAAAACTGTTACGGAAACACTTTATTTCCATCACACGAGTCACGTGGTGAACAACAGGATGTTTCCACTGATGCAAACCACGAAGAAGACAACAGGAAGTAGATGGAGGGTGATGGTGCAGCATGTTTTTAATTACTTATTTTATGACTTATTGCTTGAACAAACTTTATTGCGTTTCTTAAGTAATAGAAATGCCTGAACTGCAAAATTGTTTTTTACAGACATTAATGGAATACTGACAAAACATTTTTTGCACATTTGTAATGGACAATGTAGATTTCAGTTGTATGTATGCAAGAATAATAAGGTTAGAAATAACTTGACATGATGATGTGCTTAGGGGAGAGCTAGTTATGTGGCTTTAATATTTAGAATGAACAGTAGAGATAACGCAGTCTTATTTATGAAAGTTGTTTGATATCTGTGTGGTTCTCTACAGAAGAACATGGATTAAAAAAATAAGAAAAAAATAAGAAATATCACGAATAAGTAATGACTGAACAAAGCAACAGCGGAACGAACGAAAATAGCTAGTAGTTGTGCAAATTACCTTTTAACATGACTCGACTACACCAACATATAAGCAGTTAGCATATACACAACTTACCCGCAAACATTACGCCCCTAACACCGTTACACAAAACTACATGAACCATAAACAAAGTTTTACATAAAATGCTCACATATACTCACTTTTTTATGAAGCATGCTGACACAGCCACAATATCCGCACCGCACCGCACAACCAAACTGACCAATCCTAGCTTCTGATTTGATATATCAGTTGTCAATCAAATCGCACAACTGAATCGGCTCTCATCCTTCTTCACACGATGTTCAGTTTTATTTGCACGTTTTAGGTTTACATCGTTTTAGATCGAAAGTTTTTTTTTTTTTAACTTGGTTTAATTTGAGGAGCAGTTAACTATTCATTTTCTTTCTGATTGTTCAAAATTAGATCTGCACCCTTCTTCAAATGCATACTCTCAAGTTTGCCAAAACTGTTGTGATCAAGTCCCAGTTTCAAAGGTCTGAATGGAAAAATAATCAATTTCAGATATTTTAATTTATCTGAATGATGTAAGTTTTGATTTCCAAATGAAAAAGCAATAAAGACAAGCAGCCACTCAGAAAGAGCTGCTCTGTTTGCACGATGCACACTGAATCAGTTCCATCTCACAACAGTTCAATGATCAAGGTGGGTTTAAATATGAAATACATTTTTTTAAAAATCCATCATTTTCCATCTTTTGCCGTCTCCACAATAGCGTGAGGTAGAAAATAGGACCCAGCAGTTTGGCTTTTTGCTTTGGCAGGTTTAATTAGAGAATCCAAACTCAATTGAATCAAAATCTGAAAAACATTCTTATGGATGAAACCATTATTTGATTCTTACTGAATTCCAAATTTTGCCTTTAAAATCTAAAACACACACACACGCACACAAAACAACGTAAAAAAAAAAAAAATTAAAATAAAAAAAGCAATTTCACCCAGAGTCAGACATGTCTTACTGATTTTTTATTTATTTATTATTATTATTTTTAGGTTTTTTTGCAGAACAGTGTGTGTGCATCCTAACACGGGTTCCAAAGTGTTGCAGTTGTGTAAAGGGCCAGCAGTAGCCCTTCTATTGACAGGTCAAAGGGCGAAGAGTCATGTGAGGCCGATGGCCATCAGGTTACGCATACTGTCTTTGCTGACACCACTCAAAATCTCATACTCAACGGGTAAAGTGAAGGGATTGGTGATTTCTTTGTGTAGTGGAAAGATTTAAGATGGAAAAATACTGAACTTCTTGGGAATGAGCCAAACCCATTTTTCTGAGGAAACTGAAGAAATTAATTCAAATATTTTTGAAATGTCTTGGTGGATGTCATTAAAGTTTAGGTTATGTTCATTGTGACATGTTGTACAAAGTGTAACAAAAACCGAGTAGTTGTCAAAGTGTTTATTGTGTATTTTTCTAGTTCTTCATCCATCAAAAGGAACAATTTTCATCTCAAAAGGCCACAGATGGCGTTATGGTTCGTGCTGAAAACCACTGGAACAAGATTTGCCGATCAGAAACGTACTTCTGGAGTAAACAAGCGACTCTGGTTCAAAATCACCTTTGGGAACCGGAAACCTAACAGAAACCTGTTTGGTATCCCGAAGAGCTCTCAGGATAAGATATTTCCTCAAAATCTTATAAATTTGGAGAACCTTTAGGGATGAGTGATCAAATAATCAATAGTCAAGATATTGGATGTTAAGAAAATCCAATCAAAGAAGTTAAATCAAAAAGGCTTCAACATTTGAGGCGATGCGTTGCATAGTGAAGGTGTGGGCAACTTGGGCAATGAGCCGACATTAAGAACTTAACTTTCCGGATGTCTTCCCTCCGTCTCTCTCTGTCCACTTCCTGTCTTATTGCTCTGAATCAGATAAATAATGAAAAAATCTTTGAAAAGAAGATGGTTCAACAAGGTGTTTGACGTTGTTCACACTTACCTGACTGGCTTTTTGCAGCTTCATTTTTCTTTTTACAGATTTGTTTTTCAGAATTAAAGATACAAAATTATCACTTCATAGGTGAGAAAAGCTTTGATGTGACTTGTCATAGTCATAGTGTCTGTTTCGTTTTACATCACAGAAACCAAAGCTTTACACTTTTTGCATCAATTGTACAGTATCCAACCACATCTATTTATATCTCCATTAATATTGTGCGAAAAGCCTTAAAAATAATATTTTTTCCAGTGCAGTAGTTTAATTTATTATATATATATATATTTTTTTTTTAATTTTAGACTTGACTATTGTTAATGTTAATTCATTTTATGGTGTTTTCACATCTTTTCCACATATGCCAATAAGTGAGGAATGTGGTGTGCCTGTCTAATGGTTTTAATAAATAATAATCTGCAATTAGCAGGCAGTTTGTGTGCACACAAGCTTGACCATGCAGAGGAAAAATCATTACAAAGCAACACCACATGAACAATCAGTGTAAACATATTTGATTTTTTTTGTTGTTGTTGTTGTTAGCCACGTTCATTTATTGGACAGCATCTGCACTCTGGTTGACGGAGTGGTGGATAAAGAGGAAGTCAATAAATCTTTGTCCACATTCAGATCTCTCACAAATAAGATGGGACATTGGCCACAGTGAAACTTTGTCCGTGATTCATTTTGTTCCCTAGGAAAAATCCAGTTCCCTCCCAATTCCCAGAACTTTCATTGTAAACAATGATGGAAAGCAATAAAGCAGAAAAAACCCTTAAAATTCCAGTTGTTTTTGTAACTAGTTTTTATTTCAGTTCACATTGAGCCCTGTTGAAACAGCAGTAGAGCGATAACACGTCACTTTAATGTGTTAGTGGATGCTGCCGATGCTGCATTGACAGATGTTTTAGTCATTAATTCACCTCTTGAAACAGTCAATGAGAGAATGATATATCATGACGGGTGAAAGACATTTATCAACCTGGGAAGATGACAAATGATACCAAATGTTTTATGATGACAGACGGATTAATGGAAGCACATTCCTGTTCCTTGTAGATAGGTCTATTACCTTATTCACACCCCTTCACTTGTCATTTATTCAATTCACTTAATATCGCGAATTCATAATCGGCGTCCCGAAGCCACTGAAACTTGTTGAGCGTGTGGCGGCTCTACATGCCACGAGAGTCTTTACGCAGCCGTTGGGTTGCTGATCTTGCCTGCGAAGATGATACTCCTCGTCGAGTGCTCGATGATGAAGACCAGGAAGGGTCGGTTGAGCCTCACGTCGATGGGGAGGCTCATTGGCATGATTTCGATGGTGGTGGCGGCGGCTGCTTCTGTGCCTGTTTCATCCACACTCAGCACAGCCTGGTGAGAGACCTGCAGGGAGGGGAAAGGGAATCGTCAACGCTTTGTTGCGATTTAAAAACTGGTGGTCATATGCAGAGGACAATCTACCTTTGAGACTTTAAGCTTGATTTCTTCGGATATGGCAGAGAAATCAGCCATGTCACTGTAGGCCTCCGTTATTCCCATTTCCTTTAGAGTCTCATCCATCGAGGTTTCAACGGAGATGGAGAATTTTGGCATGTAGAGGTTCAGGTTGCTGTAGAACAAAAGATCTTGAATTATGCAACACTTACCTATTGATACATCATCCACTGTGCCGTGATGTTCCTCGACACCGTGGTTCACGTTTCTAAGAAAAACAAGCGGAACTGATCTTCCTCTTACTTCTTGTAGAGACTGTCGTGCCAGTGCCTCAAGTAGTCCTTGTTGATGAAGCCCTCAACCACCTCCATCTTGTTTTCATCAGGCAGAACAATCAACATGGATGTGTTGCCCTTGTAGGGCAGTGAGATGATGGTGGTGTGGTTGTCATGGTCCTGATAGTAATCAAAACGTCCCATCTTCTTCATCATGTCCACCTCAACTTTGGTGTTTTCATTCACATGGAAGTCCGCCTTCTCTGTTAGGTTTTTGTCGAAGGGCCTCTCCCACTGTCCTGTATGGCGCAACAAAGGAAAATGAGAGCAATACAAACATTTTCCAATGATTGTGAGCTTGTGTATTTGGTTGCTTTAGGTTGCTGTCAGGTATGACTGTTTGTGTGTATGGTTGGTACCTGTATGTGCACCTTGCCTTTTGCCCAATGACTGCTGGAGATACTCACCAGCCCCCCTGTGACCCTTCAATGGTTAACAGGTGTAGATAATGGATGGATGGATTTTCTCTAGTGTCGTAACTGGCATGGTCCGACTCTTAAAATATGTCAATCGAATGAGGATTATTCTTTATGCTTACCTCTGAAGTAGACATAGTTGATCAGCACCAAAGCCATTGAAGGGTCCAAGTCCTTCACAATATCCTTGATCTTGTCTTGGGTTTTTGAGGCCACATGTCTGTTGATCTCACCCACAGCTTCAGCGGGGTTGGAGAAGTCAACTTTGAAGACCTCGCCACCGTAGTTATTCTGAATGTCCGTCAGGTACGCCTGCAGAGGATTGAGGTCAATGCGCACTGCAACAGAGTTGCCAAGGTGCAGCTTCTGCTCCTGCTGGCTTTGGCCAAGCATTTGGAAAAGGTGGGTGTAGGCCTCATTGACCCGTGCCTGGTCTAAGTCGGCGTAGCCCAGGCTGGAGAATAGCTGGGCATGGGTCTTGCCGCGGGCCCCTGTGGACAGCATGGACAGAGCGGTGGAGAGGCCCAGGGGCGACATGAAGATGTTTTTTCCTGGAGCGGTTCTACCATTTATGTTTCTGTAGAGGGCAAAGGCAAAGTCGGCGTTGGGAGAGGAAATAACATGGCATCTCATGCCCTCATGGTGGAGGTGGTGGTCGGCTCGGGCCACAGCCAGCAGCAGGGCTGCCAGAGTGCAACTAGCAAAGATACCATGCATCTCAGAACCTAGCAAGGAGAAAACAAGTCAGCTATGTTAAACACAGAAGGGAAAAGCAGTTGTTTCTGAGAAGCAACATTAATACAATCAGCAGGGTAATTGACTCTACCTTCTTACAGCTAAAACAAGCATCCAAAGCTATTTCTTTTATTGAAATTTGCTTTTAAGATTAAGCTGGTTGTACTGCTGATCTCAATAAAGTGACTTGCTTACCTTTACTGTCCTCTCTGCAGCAGAAGGCTTGTGAGAGATTTCCAGTTTTTATAGAGGAGCTCAGAGAAACAGCTGACAGTTTGGTCAAAAATTAACCAGGAATCAGCCTCCTTTGGTCTCTGTCCTTTGATATCTGACCGATCCATCTCCACTGATGCAAGAGACACCACTCAGCACATAAAAGATAAGAGACTGCTCTCACAATATGTCTACACTGAAATATATAGACATTTTTAGGGGCCTCAATACTTTTTTTTCTTCATTTTAAGGTTTTAACAACTTGTCGTCACCTTACCAAAGGCCTAAGTCATATTTTGCCAAGAGTGATCTTATTACCTATTTGCCATTATTCTTTAGGAAGGTGACATTATGTTTTAAGCTGGAAGAATAAGCAACTTCCAACTGCGATTGTGTTTGTAAGAACAGAGTCCAAATGTCATTTTTTGTCAATTTTCTTTGACACAATAGGGTGAAAGTGAACATTTCTGACTCTTACTTTAATATCTGGTGAAGTTGGCTGCAGCAAGTTGAACCTTGACCACACCCTTTTTTTGCAGAAACTTCTAGAAAATATATATATATATATATATATATATATCCTGCATCTTATATATATCTTAATACGACTTTAGGACCACTGCCCTGTTGGACCACTAATAGTGAAGCTGAAAACTGTGTTGGCAGTTCTTCATCTTTATCATTCCTCTCACTTCAAAATAGTCCCACAGCATGATGTTGCCACCACCGGGCCTGACATTTGGTTATTTTCATGAGTTGGCAATGCTTATGCCGACTTCTTCAAACATACATTGTTTTTGTCTCATTGTGCCATAAAACTTTATTCCGCATAAATATTTGGCTTGGCTGCGTGGATAACTACAATTTTCATTTGTGTTTCTTGATTGAACTAAATTGTCTTAATATCCATGTGAATATTTCAAAGTTTAAAAAAAAAAAGGTTTTCTGGATGGGGACCAGTATGCAGTACTATAATACTTTTCTTGTCTCACAAAAATTATCCTAAATATACTGGTTTAACAACATTTAGTTTCAGACAGCAAAAATGCTAGCTTTCTGGAAAAGGAAAACGTCCTTATTGATGAGCGGAGAGCGAAAATAAGCACTAAATTTAAATTCATGTCGCACTGAAGTACTGAATATTTAAATGAAGCACATTATAACTTGTCATACCACATGACTAAATAATTTTTAGGGTTGATCATTTTAGCCAAAAGAAATTGTTTTTTATTATTGTTGTTGTTGTATTTTTTTACTAATTCAAAATAACAAAAACACAAAATATTACGGAACGTGTCCATCAGAAATTCTTGTATGGATAACGCCCAATATTAAAAAATGTTTTAACATATCCTATGAGGCAGTGCGACACGCAGACATATTATTTACCGTACATAGCATTACAGTTAACGCTACATAATGCTCCACTTGACATAGCACGAAGAAGAGGTCATAAATATGAATAAAAGCAATCAGAAACCTGCTTAGTGTGTAGGCAGCTAATTGAACGTTTTTGTTTATTATCTTGTTCTTGTGTCCACTCATTATCAATGCCACCCTGGGCAAGTGCCCTGACTTATTTTAACAAGAATTAATGGAAGTGGGCAGCAATTAGTTTCAGTATATAAAAAAGTGTGTGGCAGAATAATTTTAGTTTGGTGTCGTTTATTGCAGAAACCAAAGAAAAGCAACCCAGAACTGGGTCCCAGAAGGGACAAAAGGATGAGGGAGTTCAGGCAGACATCAGTCAGCTGATGATTAGGGTCCTGGGAGGACTGGCCTCATGTTAACACTGAGGCCCAGTTTAATCCCATTTATCAGGAGCCGCAAGGCAGCAAAAACAAACTCATATCATGGCAATTAACATAAAAAAGAAAAGATCAACCTTCATCTGCCTCCTACAGCCAAACACTGCTAGGAATCTGGGATCACTGGACCATAAAGTAGAACTGTGTTGATGGGATTGGGAAAGAAGTTGACGAGCTGATGATGTTGATGGTGTACTGCTTGAAATAATTCAGATTTAACAACAGCATCACAACATCATTGTTGAAGAAGAAAAAAACTGGAAGGAAAGGAAAAGCCAAGGAAAAGATTTTCGACATTATTTCAGCTTACTGTGTATTTAAGAAATGTATTTAAGATGTACAAAATAAGTTAGACAAAAAAGTGTATTAAATGTATTGTAATATAAGTTGTAATTCAGAAAATTTAACAAGTTACATGTTAAACTTTTTTACTTAGCTTTTTTTTTGCTTTAGTTGTGTTTAATTGTGACAGCGCAGAAAGCCCATTGTAGCTAGAAAAAGGAGGAGGAGTAAGTTTCTGGCAAACAAATCTGAATTTTTTTAGAAAGAACAAGGGCATTGCTGAGTTTGAAAAGTTTCAAAAGTAGAACATTTGCTCGAAAAAACTCAAAACATTTCCACGTTTTTTTCACAAAACTTTCTGCAATTAATATCAAAATTTTATGGAGTTTTTTGGAGAAAATTTACTCCTCCTTTTTTTCATTTTCGAACTACGATAACCCTAATAATATATTGTTTTCAACATTGAGTGTTAATTTAATGGATCGTTTAAATTAACAATATAAGTCGATTTAAACTTATATCGTTAATTTAAATTATCATAAGGTCATAAAAAAATTAGATTTTAATTGAAAAAGAGGCAGGTTTAAGAGTTTTTTCTTCTTCCAGCTCTTTTCATTAGTGAAAGTGAAAAGGAAGTTTGTGAATTAGTTAAATCGAGTCAATAAACTGATTGATTGATTGATTGATTGATTGATTGATTGATTGATTGATTGATTGATTGATTGATTGATTGATTGATTGGGGGTATTTTATTTTTTTCACATAGCAATACAAAAATGTTGTTTGGATTTAAGGATTGAACCTTACACTCATGTATTAGTGTTTTAATGTGCTTAAATGAACAGTTTACAGATGCCACTTGAAAGGGCTTGAGAAAAAATACTAAATAAGTTTTGAACTTGAAATTTCTCCATTTGGATCAGGAACAGATTCCCCACGGCTCTCAATCCAGGGTTTTACCATGAACCGGTGAAAGCCTCGCAGATTAATAGGCTGACATTTGTGTTAGTTATGAATGGATCTGCCGTCCTTTTCATCAAACCGTCCTCTATTCATCATCTCTTCATGAAGGTAAATATCAATGCGGCATTGCCACACTGAGGCAGGAAGCCGCCACAAAATGTTACACTACTTCGGCAGCTCTTCTTTTTTTTTTTTTTTTTGCTGTTTTGTGTCGGCGAATGAGCCTGGATACTCTGGCAAAGCAATTTCTCAATAATTGCCTAAGAAGATAAAGAGATGCTAAGGGAGGAAATGGGTTTCGGAGTGACGGAGGAAAGACAACAGAGAAAATGCTTTTGTAATGGAAGAAAAAATGTTTTATGTTTTTTGCCAGATAGCAGCGATTCAGTCACAGGGATAAATTGCAGTCATTTGAATGTCTTTTCATCATTTTTGCGAAAATGGGAGAATAAACCGTGAATCATCTCATAATGTTTGAAAATCAATATGCACTCACTTCTCTGAACTCTCTGGAAATGTAACTTTCTCCTCTTATGAAGTGCAACACTGCTGCGGGGGGGAGGAAGAAAAAGTTAAACCCAAAGCTTTCTTGTTTTGTAGGTAAATATGGCACAATGAACAGAAGAGACAGAAGAGAGAGAACACTTTCTTCCAGGGGAGAACCGATCACTGATTACCGTTCTTTATCGGCCGATGCCGATTTTTTTTTTTTTGTCTAAAATGTTGCAAAAATACAGCAAGACAGTTGCTTTAGTTGGAAACAGTGTGGTGACTATTGTTAATTGCGAACATGCAGACATGACCTGGTCTGTCAGTCAAAGCTCCCTCATGGCAGAGCAGAAGAGGACAGTGGTCGATTTTTAGACCTTTGCTGAGGTAGATAATATCGGCTTCACCTGTAATTATCGGCCGATCACCGATCTCCCAAAATTAAGGAAATAGGTGCTGATAATTTGGTGCACCCCTACTTTCTTCATATCTAGATGTTTTCTGTGGTATCGGTATTCCAGTCAATGAGCAACATGAGTATGGTCAGGTGATCGTAGACGACGAAGACGAAAGCGTTGTTGAAAGCGATCCTCTGGGGGACGGAGAAGTCCAGTGGGACGTCCGTCCATCTCCCCCTCTCTCCAGATCTGGACTCTTCCACCGATTGTTTTTCAAGCGATATCTCACTCTGAACTCTTCTGAACCTCATAGAGTTCCAGCTTCCTCCTCTCCCGTGCGCTGGAGGAGTTGGCGGTGTTCAAGGAACACCAGCGTCTCTTAGGATGCTCTCCAATCTGTAGGATTTTCTCAGCTGAAACTTTGGGAAACGGATTTCTGCCCTCCTGTGAAAACAGCAATCAGCGCGTTAATGGACCCGCCGGCAGAGGTCTTGAGAGAGCTACTGATGGCTTTAACAGGCCCGTGTAGAGGGATGAGTAATTAGCGCTCATTTAGAACGTTCTCGGCTTCATTCATCAGGGGGCAAAAAGGCAAACTGGCTGCTGAAGACTGAAGAGAACAGAGAAATTTTGGGCACCTGCTTAAACGGTTGGGATGAATGGACTCATGTTTATTGTTACAGCAGGTAAAATAGCTTTACCAGCAGCAATGGAAATATTACGCTCACCAAAAGCTTTACATATGAAACTAAAGCTAGTGTTTCTTGTCTTCTATGAGTAAATAAAGAGGATTGGAACACCAAGTTCTGTCTTTAAAGCAGAAATCTGTGCTTTAAAGACAGAACTTTGGAGCACCAATTCTCCCGTTCTGAATTGTGCGTGTATATCGGGATCAAGGCTGTGGAATCCAAAGTGTTCTGCCAGGTCAGGGCTATGTACAGTACTGTTGATATCATTTTATTTATTTATTTTCCATATGGCAATTTGGAAGTGACATCTTTATGCTTTATGAATGCCCCCCCAGGTGACCCAGATAATTATTAGCTGAATAAATCAGAAAGTAGGTCGTCCCATCAGTTTCACTTGCAGTTACAAGATTCCAACATAGCCTAGATCTTAATGTAATCGAGAATCGGTGGCAAGACATGAGAA